TTTGTGTCTACGTATTGTTTAAATTTGTTTTTATCCTGGAATATTTTTTTTCTCCATTGATAGTGAGCGAAAGCTTGGCTGGGTATAGTAGTCTGGGCCTGCATCCATGTTCTCTTAGTTTCTTTTTGTTTGTGAGTCCTGCATGTCCAGTTCACTCAGCATAACACTAAGCAGTCCAGGCAAGAGCAGTTTCTTGCCCAAATGGCTAGCAAACTCCATAAGAAGTCTTTTCGATGCCTATCATCCTCTTGAAGTAGAATGGTGCTGCTGGGAGCAGATGTGTCTCACTGTCATGAAAAGTCCTAACTTCTTAAAACAGTTCAAACCTCATATACTGTAGTCTTTGAAAGATTTGCAGAATACCTATCTAACTCATATATCTCTATATATCTAGAAAACTTAACTAACATGACTACAAGCTTGAATATTATGGATGATTATTTATTAACCTATATTTCTTAATTACACATTACATTTATAAATGAGGTGCACAAATATAATACCGTAATCAAGAGCATAATATATATGTATATATACATATATATAGTATAACAAAATTGACCTTAAATTTATATCAATACACCAAGTTTCATACTAATGTAAATCTCTATAGCATATCCCCCTTTAAGTGTAAACAAACATTTATAAACAACATTTGGGAATACAGGCATAGTTCTTTCCAAATTGTTCCCTGCTTTTTGTTGGACGAAATATTTTTGGGGGATGTCATGTTGACCTTTCTGGTGGTCTTGGTCCATTAAATCACATTAGTCTGAAAGGATTCCACAGGATCTCATCCTCTGTAGCAACAAAAGAAGAACCTCTTTTCCAAAGCAACATATCCTTAGACTCAAATTCTGAAGTCAAGATACCTTTAAAGTATACATGTTGGTTACTTAGCTCTTTCATAGTCAAAAGTTCAAAGAAAACACAATAATATACATAATCCAGACTCTGTCTATTTTCCATCTTTATGTGGCTTATTTTTATTACTCTATTACTTTTTCTACAAGTTTAATATTTATTTTATTATCTTTACTCCTTTAATCTATGACTATCTGTCTCTTTGAAGACTTTGTGTTATAATTTCTAAACCATTTAATTCCTTTTATAACTCTCTATACTCTTTTTCTTCTCTCTCCCTAGCCTATGTACATTTTTAAGCATACCACATATCATTTAGAGGTCTTTTTATGTCGGAATCTATCCTATTGCATATCTGTAATCCTTTTCTGTCCTAGAGAGCTTTAAAAATGGTAAGCAGCTTGGGTGCTGCAGCCCTGGGCACTTTTTATGCCTCTCTCTGCTTTTCAAAATTACTGCCATCTCTGGGACTGCTAAGTTGGAGTTGCACTCACCACTTTAGCTCTGAGAAGGAATGAGCAACACATAAACTCTTTTTATCATAGCTATAGCTAAATCTGCCATGCAGCACAATGTGTGGTCTGGAAATATCTCTGTGTATGGTGGCAGGAATCCACCATGATCTCCTGCCTCTACACACCTAGTAGATCTGATTATACCATCTTTCCAGGCCAGGAGCACTGAGTCATGGGCATGGTCTCAGTTACTTTGCTCCCGACCCCGAGTGGGCACACAAGCACCCAGGCTCACAAATGTCATTCAAGTGCTAGGACTCTTGAAAGAGCCAGAGTTTGCACCGGCAGCACAGCCCAGGATGCCTCTGTTTGAATCCCACACTTTTATTAATTAACTAATTAATTAATTTAGCTACTACTGCTGAATCAGGACAAACATGGAGCAATAGCTCCATAGCTTCTCCCTGACTCTGCCTCCTTTCTTCCAGCATTCAGTTTAGTTTTCCCCACCTAGCTCTATTCTACCCTATCACAGGCCTAAGACAGTTTCTTTATTAACCAATGGCATTTCCAGCATACAGAGGGAAATCCCACATCAAATTAACACAGATATGAAGCATACCTATGAAGCATACCACAGATATGAAGTGTGCATAAGTGATAAGTGATGTTGTAATTATTAGGTTGCCATTGTACAGGCAAAATAATAGCAAGTAAGATAATGATACATAAGCCATAAAAGGGTGGCTTTGATATAGTCTAAAAGACAAAGTATATTTATCATCCTCAATGTTTTATTTTCCTCCCCATGCTTTAAGAGGGTAGAAGGTACTTGCCAATTTCCACAAGTTAGTTTGAACTGAATTGTAAGATTGCAGGAGAGGACTTGACATTCCAACTCCATGCCACTGAATAGGTTTGTTAACAGAAGATTTCCACACTTCTATTCAAATTATAACATTTCCATCTTAAGTCTGAGTGAGAAGAAGTCTGAGTGAGGGAAATCGGAGGGCTCCAGTGCATGACATCTCCTTGGAACATATTAATAACAGTCAAGGCTTCTCGCTGTTACACTGTTACTAGTGTACCCAATCAAGTTCCTTATTGGTAATGCATTTCTCACAGAACTGTAGATTTATGGAATGAGTATCATTAATCTCTTATCTTTTAAAACCAGATGCATGAAGCATATAAAACTTTTTATGATAATCTTTGGTAGTACTGAATATGGATAGCCATACTTGAGAGGTTATATTTAGGTATTGAATTCCATTTCTGGTGCAAATAGGAATTACTTGTAGTCCAACAGTATAATTTTCAATCATATTACACTCCTCCATTGGCTGAGCAGAACATTGGTTGTCATAAGGTCCAGGTAACCAAGAAGATTCATTAATCACTAAAGGAATATCCATATCTCCCCAACTTACTCATATGTTAATTTGAGGATTGGGAATAAAAGCCCAATATATATAGCTTGCCTGTTACCTGTATAATTTTCACAAATAAGTATAGAAAGGAACAGATCTTTAGCATCCAGGTTTCTGAGTCATTAACTTCCCTTTTGTCATAAATTCTTAAGCTGTCTCCAGGGGGGAGGATTCACGGTGTGCTCCAAAGTCCTTTTGTTTCCCAGAGGCATCTCAGCAGCTGTAGCATCTCAGCAGCTGTAGCATCCTCTTGCTCCCATCAGATTTTTATCAGTTTTGATGGCATCCACAATGTTTCATCCTCTATGGATACAAGCATAATGTTGGCCCTAATTCAATGCTTTTTTTTGACTATTTTAATGTTAAAACATTTATGATACATGGCCTGACTTTTTTTCAGCATTTTTCTATGGTTCACTTTCCTAAACAAGTATAATTTCTGGGTAAAATTAAGCACACTCCATATACCCACAGCTAAGTGATTTACCCGTAGTCATCTATGAAGCCTTTATGGAGACTAGCAAAGAATTTCAAAGTTTGTTCAAATGTGCTGCAGAGCAACAGACATCATAGGGTGTCTAGGCCCAATAATTTATTTGTATCACAATCCTCTTGTTTGGAGCTCATTGATCATTTCAAAAGGTAAGAGTGGAGGACCAGGATGTCTACGGTGAGATTCTGTCTTCTATATATTACAAAGAAGCTGTACTCAAGTATTCTCAGCTATATGGCTGCCTAAACAAGACCCAAGCAATAACAACACAAGCTTTCATGCTAGAGTGGATGAGGTAATCTTTCAGGGCTCCACCCATAAAAGATACAGTAACTAATGAATTGAAAGGGAAAATTAGTAATCTCCATAGATGAACTTCTTTCTTTTTGGATTTTTGAGACAGGGTTTCTCTGAGGCTTTGGTTCCTGTCCTGGAACTAGCTCTTCTAGACCAGGCTGGCCTCGAACTCCCAGAGATCCGTCTGCCTCTGCCTCCCGAGTGCTGGGATTAAAGGCGTGCGCCACCACCGCCCGGCTAGATGAACTTCTGATATATTACTCAAACCTAAATGGTCAGTTATAAACACATGAACACATGAGCAACACTAAATGGGTGCAGCAGATAAAATATTTATCAATTTATATAAATTGATGTATAATAATAATAATCACAAAAGAGGCATAAATTAGAGGGAGAGTAGAAGGAATCTGAGGAGGTAAAGGGTGAGACTGAGGAATGAAAATGATGTATGAACAATAAGCATGTACTTTAAAAGTTTAAAAAGGAGTGAAAATACAAGAGAGTTAGTAAGAGTATGAGAACAAGAAATAGCTGCCATGAGAGTGATCATGGAGGTAGTTTGAGGAGCCTCTTCTGAGATCACTCTCCAGTTCTGGGCAACATTACTGAGAAAACTTCTCTCAATCCCAAGCACACAGGAAAGGTGTGATCTATAGCTTTATAGGGACAGAGGGAAGTTTCACATCATGTGTTTATTTCAGTGTAGTGTAAGAGACAGGGGACATGGAGGGGTCAGGTGTTGTATATGGAGAGTGTACGAGTCACAACATAGATATTTCTTATACTCTCTGTCCTAGAGTGAGCTGCAGGAGATGTGGTCTGCTTAAAACAATGGGAACATGGCCTAAAGCTGCAGATTTTTGTCCTAACACAAAATCGTGGAGATCATGCCTTGACCGTGGATGGGAACACAAGAGTATGGCTGAAATCTTCTAAAGCAGGAGCTTGAGAGGGGACTAGGACTTGTTCTTCCAGCCTAAATGGAGAGGACAGAGAGGAACCAATGTCCAGTATGAGGAAGCCCTTGGTGAACTAGAAGCAGTAAGGAGAGTGGGAAACAGATTGTTTTGTAGTCAAAGTTTTTCATCATTGGCAATTATTTTCTGAAGACTGATATTCCCAACAGAGTTTCCCTCTAACTGAAAATCAAAGCAGGGTGGGTCATTAAAATTGCTCAGTGTATAGCTTCCAGGGATGATGTGCTGAGTTAAATTCCAAGGTTCAACTTGGTGGAAGGGGCAACCAGTTCCCTCATGTCTTTTATCTACCTTGCATGTGCAGTAGCATTTTCCTACCCACACACTGATGTATACCTAAGTAGACACACACACACACACACACACACACACACACACACACATTCTCTCTCATACATGTACATAGAATGCATAAATAACTGCATACCAAAACTCAAGCAGTGGTATTAGCCTGTTTTGTTATCTACATACATGAGATTCCTTTAAAAATCAGTGCCCTTGTATAATCATTTATTCATTTATCCACAGATGTCTCAGATTTTTCTTGGCATTGAAACATATCAAAATAACAGGTACATTATGTCTTCCCAAAGCCCAAGTTGCAATGGAAAAAAAAAGGCAGTCACACAATTAGAAGGTGAATTTGGCAGTTTGCTATATCCATAATGGGAACAAGGAAGAGAATGAGAAAGATTGTTTGTAAGATGACACAGTGTTTAGTAGCACTTCTTGCTCTTCCAGACAATCTGAGTTTAGTTCCCAGGGTCCATGTGAAGAGGAATCACTACCTCATCTAACTCCAACTCTAGGGGATTTCACACAATTTCACCCAATAGTCAAGCTGGCATCTCTTTCTGAGTCTCAGTATAGACACTCAAGCTGTACTGGTACCCAGGCCATTAGCCCATGGTTCTGATGGGCTTATGAGGTTTCACAAGATAGCCGAGGTCTCCAAGAGGAGTAAAAAAGGACATAAGTCCTCCTGATGAGTGCATGTTCACAGGGATTAAGTCGAGCAAAAATTCTCTCCTGCAGGAAATAGTAGCAAATAGTGCTGATCCTGAGAGCTGTCCTCTCCCACTGTCAGGACTTTGTTCATACTGAGGATACTTTATCTTCATGGCAACATTTATTTGTGTGCTATCATTGGGAAAATGAGACACAGAAACCCCAGTGTTCATCTGCCTCACAGAGGCCATGTGTTATAGACTTCAATTCTATGTACAACCATGTATACAGTGTCTTCACCTTTGAGCCCTTCTCAGGTATCCGTAGAGGAAGAAGAGCTATTTTTCAGAGATCTTAATCTCAATCATTGGTGACTTGAGGGGATATCTTCCTGGAAGTAAAAACAAATGGACAGTCAGATTTGACTCTAGAACTAAACTATTTGCCTTGAGGGATTTTATGCAAATTTTCAGGACTCTGCAAGCCAGCTGCTAGACAGGAAATCATGTGCTTTCTGAAATGCTGTTGCCACTACTCCAGAAAGACAAAGGGCAAAGCTTTACTTTCTCCCTTCCAATAGAAGGGAGAAACACTGGGCTCCCTTTTCACAAGAAGTCACTATTTCAAACAACTTTAGCATCTATCTCTCATCTTACCTCACTGTACTCCTTAGAGAAGTAATCCTTTTAGGGATTGGCCTTAGATCTTGGGTATGAGTAACAATGGTCTTATATGGAAAATGTTAAAGTAAAAAAAATCCCTAACCTAGTTCTGCCTAATACACCTCTACCTTTTACCAGTAATATTTTTTTTTTCTGAAAACATCAATCAGAGAGTGCTGGAGAGATCATGTAGTTTTTAAGAGCAATGGTTATTCTTTTAAAGGGTTGAAGTTTTGTACCCAGGACATCCATGGCAGCTCATAAGCAATCTATATTTCCATTTTCAGGAAAATCTATATTTTCCATTTCCATACCTTCTGGCTTCTGTGGTCATCTTGAGTACTTGTGGTTCACAGATATACGTGAAGTAAAATACCTGAAGTAAAATAACAAAACACATGGAAAGAAACAAAAATGAAAGAAAGGAAGCAAGAAAGTAAGGAAGGAAGGAAGAAATAAGGAAAGGAAGAAAACAGTAACGTATCTTTTAAAAAATATCTTTTTATGTTCATTACATGTGAAAGACAGAACATTATAGGCCAAAACAATTATTTGGCTACAAACTCAGCTGTACCCCTTATTCTTTCCTTTACTAGATCATTCTAAAACTCACTTGCCTTTTGGAGACCTGTGAACCTCAGTTACCATCAAACACCTGTGAAATTTGGACATGTTATGATCCAAACTGCTCATTTAGCTGAACGACGGGCATGCTCCTGGTCTCATGTTTGAGATTTCTGAACACACAAGTCCCAAGAACTATATGTGGGTGCTTCTCAGGGAAACTCTTAATCTGTCCTTGGAGGGCACTGACACAGGCTCAGCAGTGGATATCAGTACAATCAGGGAGACACAGCATTTTTGGTGCAAGGAATATGTGGGTCAGTAACATCCTGGAGAGACAATGGTCATCTGACTCCAGATCCTAGGTCGGTACCACCATGATCTGCAGCTCAGTTCACACATGGCAAAGACTGTTTCTCCCACACAGCACAGGAAACCCATTGTCTCTGAGCACTCAAGTCCTCCTGCATTGGCCTGTGATTCATCTTTTGCCTGGTTTTCTAAGAACAGGGATTAGGGGTGGATGTTAGACAGGGCAACAGTGGTTGAAAGAGGCCTTTGCATGTGTCAGAGGTCACACAGCAGGCCATCTTCTCTCTGCTGTCTTCACAGACACAGCACTGCTATGCAAAGCCACTATCACAAGCAACAACTCCAACCCCATGGAGGTTAAAGATTATAGTCATGACGTTTGTGCATGAGAGTCAACCACAACCTACCTGTGGAGGAAAAATGGTCAGTCTCACCGAAGGAGAAAGGGTGAAGCTGTCAGAAGGCAATGCAGCTCTCACTTTAATGAATGCCACCACTGGCACAGGACTATATAAGTGTAAATCCAGGAACCAAATGAGTGACACCACATTCAATCTGAACATTTGCCCGTAAGTATTTTGTTTCATCAATGCTACAGCTTCCTAAATGCAGATGTCTAAAACCAGAACACTTGGCCTGCCTTAGGTTCATGACACAGACCCACCACATAGACACCAAGGCTGGCCTGGGAATTCTGGTCTATCCCCATGCAACCAGAACCAGCACTGAGCTAGAATGTGCTGGAGGGACTTCTGCCTAGAGAGGCTCATGGTGGTGGACACAGGGGACATTTCTGACTCAGTCTCAGTGCACACATGAGGGTTCAGTGAAACGTTTTTGCATGTTGTGTTGGAGATGCATCAGGGATCATGCACGATACATGATTCCTCTTCTACCAGTCTGACCATCCTGAAAACAAAATAAGAAACTCTTCTACCAGTCTGTACCCAAGCTGTTTGTGCGACCTGCCCAACTAAGGTTGTGCCAGAGACATGATAGCCTTCTATAGATAAGAATTTTCCGTTCGCTCTTCTCACATCACATTCTGCTTTATCCTTTTCGCTCCAGGTTGCTCGGATGACCTGATCAAATCCTTTTCATGTATTTACTCATGTATCCAGGATGAGACCTCAACCTCTCCTACCATGAACTAAAAGGCAGGTTTGTTGCAGGAGGGAGAGAGCGGATCTGGTGGGGTCTCTGCGTGAATTGGCTGTCATTGGCGGGCCCTACCAATCAGCATGCCACTGTGCGAGAGGGAATTAGAGACAATGCCACAAAACGAAGGTGAGGGCTGAGCCAAAGAGAATGAATGAACTCTGCCTGGCAGGCCCTTTAGAAGGCAGAGACTAGGGTATGCTATGGGCACTGCACAGAGTGTACCCACACCCTGTCACACTATTGCCCAGAGGGGAGACAGGAACAGCGCAGCAGCCCTGAGCTGCAGCAAGCCCTAGACATACTGGTGTGTGTGTGTGTGTGTGTGTGTGTGTGTGTGTGTGTGTGTGTGTGCAGAGTCAGAGCAGCAGCTGCACACCTGGGTGGCCAGCACTGGGAGAAAGAACAGAGGGAAAGCTCATTAGGTTTTAACCTTGGCAGTCGGGTCGTAGGACCTGCTCTTAGCCAAGGTGGAATCTACCCGTGTGTTACAAGGCACTTTATAGGATTTAAGGTATATCCACTCATGCAGGGTACGTATAACCCAGGCATTCACAACGGAGTCACAAACAAGTGGCCAAAGCATACGTACATTACTTTTTCATACGTAAACAATCAGGAAACATCCCTATATATGCTGTTTATCTCAGGTCAGGAAAGCAGGGTCCTGTCCCATGACAGAGACAGGACATGAAGAAAAGGGAGGCATTTTGAACAGGAGATCGAGATACCTAGTGAAACAGAACATTTCCAGCCAGAGAGAGGATTCTGCCCCCTGGGGCAGCTGTGGCAGGAGGGTGAGGGTGGACAGAAGCAGCAGCGCAGACAGGCGGAAGAACAGAACCCTCCAACACTGAGATAGAAAAGATGATTGTGTGCACGGCAGCTCCTTCCTTTTACCCATCCGCTGGCAGAAGTTAGAAAGGTCCAGTAAAACTTCAGGAGGTAAAAAGCCTTTAGGTGGCCAATTTGAGTACAGAGGCAAAAGAGTGAAAGACATAGTAGTGGAGCGGATGGGCTTATGGTTTTTGTCAGCTTTTTCCCACAAATGAGGCAAGAAGATCCAATGATCCTTTTCAAGCAAGGACCAGTGATACTGGCTCAGGCCATTAATTTGGTCATCGGCAAAAAAATGGGGTCCGAGAGGCCATGAAGCCCGAAGGGCATGAAACCCGAATGAGAAAGCACGAAGAAGAAAGACTGTATAGACCAAAAGACCCATATAACTGAGAACAGAGGAACATAGAAGGCCTGAAGGACCCACAGGTCCAAAAAGCAAAGACACAAACCCCTGTGTTAAAGCAGGGGGCCCTGAGGTGCTAGGCCATAAAGCCCCACTTGTAGATCATGCCAGTGGTGATTGTCAGAAAAATCCACTTGGGGAGCAGGAAGGAATCTACCAACCTTAGCTGGTGTTGTGCTTACTATCCCAGCAGATGGGTGATCTGGAAAGCGGCCAGTCAAAGGACAGGATTCTTGCATATTCCAGTCTGCCCACTTGCAGAGCCTGGTAGAGGCTGGCACCACTGTATTTATATGCCATGAGACTGAACCTTGGAGTTTGTATAACTGCCTGAGAGAGACCTTGACTGGTGGGAGTCAGAGGCTGTGTGGAGGATGAGAGACAAATAAACCATGCAGACAAAACTTAAGTGAAATATTTATTGAGAAAAGGGGGAAGGAGAAAGAGAGAATAGCAAGAGAGACAGAAGTGTAAAGGCCTGTTTGTTACTTCAGACAACAGAGAAAAGAGATCAGTAATGGGTGGAGCCTATCCCTTAAAGGGACCTTTTGTACCTGTATGCAGAATAATCAGTGACATGGCAGCCATGGGACTCTGGGCTGGCTAGCTAGGTGACAGGAGGCAGGAGGTGCCTGAATCCTAACACAAGCTTTCCTAGTTCATCAACACACATTTATGTCCCCAATACAAGGGAATCCACCTTTGTAAAAGAAACATTATTGGGACTTAGTGGGAGACTTCAACATCACACTTTTACCCATGTACAGGTTGTTCAGACAGAGAGTAAAGAATTAAGGAAACCAGCAGATGTTATAATGCAAACGGACCTAAGAGATATCTACCAAACATTCCGCCCAAACACAAAAGAATATACCGTCTCTCAGCACATAATAGAACCTTCTTCAAAGAAGACCGTATCCTTGGTCTCCAAAGAAACTTGAAACAATCCCCTGAATAATATCAGACCACCGTGGATTAAAGCTGGTTTTCACCAACAGAAAGTTTACAAAGTCATGGAAACTGAACAGTTCTCTACTGAATCACTGCTGAGTCAAGGAAGAAACAAAGAAAGAAATTAAAGACTTCCTAGAATTTAATGAAGATGAATGCAGAACATACCCAAAGTTGTGGGACACAATGAAAGTAGTGCTAAGAGAAAAGTTCACAGCACTAAGTGCCTTCATAAAGGAATTGTATAGGCCTCATACTAGTGACTTTACAGTAGACCTGCTAACTCTAGAACAAAAAGAAGCAACACACTCAAAAGGAGTAGACAACAGCAGAAAAATAATCAAATTGAGGGCTGATATCAATACAAAGAAACAAAGAAAAGTATAAAAACCAATGAAAGAAAGATTTAGTTTTTGATAAAATCAACAAGATTGATAAAAATCTTATAAAAATTAGCTAATAGGCAGAGATAGAGTATCCAAATTAACAAAATCAGAAGTGAAAAGGTGTATATAATTACAGACACCGAGGAAACTGTAAGAATTGTTAGGGAACACTTCAAAAATCTACAAGTTGTATAGGTGGAAAAGAGTTTATCTCACTTTATGGGTTCCCTTTGCACTTGCTTGAGTTTCTTTTTTTAATGTATAGAAGCTTTTTTTTCTATGTCCCATTTGTCAGTTGTTTTCTTATTTCCTGAGAAAATGGAGTACTATTTATAAAGTCCTTTTCTATACTTGTATCATGTAGAACACTGCCTAATTTTTCCTCAAGTACTTACAGCATATTGGGATCTATGAGCCATTTGGAGTCAGCTTTGGTGCAGAGTGGTAGATACTGGTCTACATTCATTCTTCTACATGTTAGCATTTGGTTTTCCTAGCAGCGCTTGTTAATGATGCTGTCTCTTGTGCCGAGCATATTTTTAGCATCTCTGTCAAATATCGGATAAATATAATCGTGTGCAATAATGTTGGGTGTCTTCTATTTTGTTCCTTTAGTCTGTATGTCTCTTTTTGTGTCAGCACCATGCTGTTTTCATTATGACTTGTGCTTTTAGAAAAATTTCAAGCTTTCAATTTTACCAGTAAAGACTCAGGAGCCAGATGCTGCAGCGAAAACGTGCTAGCTCAAAGAGGCAGAGAAAGTACATTGCTATCATTTCTCCAATGTCTAATGTTGAAGACCAGACTCAATGAAATTCATACAGTCCAGGGTAGGAGCATGAGAATTAGAATTATTAATCAAATGGAAAAGAGATATGAGAGAAATAAAAGAAACAGAAGAGTATCGGGAGGGAAATTCAGTGAGTACTAAATTCATCTGCGTGTATTTTTAACATGCTTATATACTTCACTCCAAAAGGGGAAAGGGGATGCAACAGACTTCATTAACACTATGTAAGGAACAGACTTGAATTCTCTGACCTTTGGTCCAGGTGGAGCAGATCCACCTCTATACTTAAAATACTAATTAACCACACCCTAATCTCTTGTTTGTAGCCACATCTGTTGTCAACAACTTTGAAAGAGTGAAAATATGCCCAAACTCTCTGACCTCTTGTCAAGGTGGAATAGGCTCACATCTTTGGGCCCTCACACTCCTCAAGCTAAAATGTTCCTCTCTCATACATCCTGTGCATCTCTCTATCCATTCTTCTTACTCTCCTGTACTCTATTGCTTTTTCTTAACCATCCTATACTCACTCCCTGTGAACTGCTTGCTTGCTCTGCCTTTTGACTTATGGTTGACTTTATTTAATCCTGTTTACAATATTCACAGAGAAAACTCTTGGAGGAAAAGTCTGTGCTGGGCCTGAGGGACACCACAACTAGAAACAGGTTTGTCCAGTTAATATTGCAACCTCAGATTTCACAGTGTTATTACATATCCTGCAATATTTCCTCTTTTCACCTAAATTAAAAGAAAAGCATTTAATTCTAACACAATAAAACTACAATAATGAAGGTATCTCTACCAAGCTTTCCACAATGTATTGCTTGTGTGTATTTGGTATTCCTATGATTAAGTATTTTGGGGTTGAAAGTTCTGTAAAATGTTCAAATCAGTATAAATGGATGGAGTACCATTTCCTGGTACCCAGACCTGAATAATCACAAGGAAGCTATATTAATTACAACACTGTTTAGAAAACAGATTACATGTATTCCTGCCTAGCTCTTATATTTTAGTTAACTCATTTCTATTAATCTGTGCATTGCCAATTCTTAGAGATTTAGAAAACAAATTCAAACTGTTGTGACCATTTGAATTTACTTAAAACATTTAAATCCATTGTTTTTAACACCAAACAATAAAAATATTCTTTTTACTTAAGAAGAAAACTCAAAATCTGATGTCCAAGATGGCTTGGGTCACGAGGAATACAGTCTACTACTCTAATATGCAGTTAAAACATGGAGTTGAAGAAACCCATTTTTCATTTCATGCCAGAAAGGCAAGTGTGCCTTTGGCAGATTATCACTTATTTCAAGTTATTAGTTTGATTTTTTCATGCCTGATCATATGAAAGGTATGTTTCATCATTATAATGTGCTTTTGACTGAATGACCAAACTGTCTTGCGTTTCCTTATTCAGGATGCCTCCCAGGTTCAAATCTGATCTTTATCAATCTTGATGGTCTCTGCAGAGTTTTCTTTTCCTGTAGAAACAAAGGCAAAACCTTTGTACAGTTTAAAACATATCCTGGTTTCCAATCTGAAGCCAACACATCTATAAAATATCCAGGCTGATTCAACTCAATAAGATTTTTTTCTACTATCCAATGTCCCTCCTCAGCCATTCCTTTCTCATTAGCATTTAAAACTTAAAGGTAATAAAACACTGTTTAATCTATCTCTGAGGGTCTTTGTTACCCTTTTCTGTTTAGTACGCGTTTCTTTTAAAGTGTGGTTAGATCCTTCTAAAACTGCTTGTACTGTATGATTGTGCCATATACCTGTAAGATGCTTTATGTCATAATATGCAAAAAAACTTTTTTTATTTAACTAGAGACATAGGCCGGAGCATTTCAGTCTTCATGTGTACAGGTATTCCCATAATGGCCATGAATCCTGAAAAGTGTGTAATTACAGAATAAACCATCACAGAACTTAAAGCAATTGCCCATAGAAATCCTGAATATATATATGAAACATAACCACTTACCAAATTTTATTTCTTTGAATGCCCTTTGACTTACTTCCTCTATGTGGTGTAGATTGATCCTATAAAAACAAGAAGGTCATTTCCTTATAATTTCCTTGGCTTGTTGCCAAGTGATAGAAAAATCTTTTTTCAAACCATTTATGTTAACATGGAGTTTCTTATTAAATTCTGAGGCATCTAGCATATTCCCTATTAATAGTTGAACAATTTCATCATTATCTTGTGCTAGAGGGCCTGATAAACCCATATGGGTTCTGATACGTATTATTCTATTTTTGATTACTTGTCATAGATGAATAAATATTAAAGTTATTCTGAATCATTCATAACCAGTCCAATGGTTCCAATAGGTAATCATAATCAGATGAACAATTTAAATAGACCCATTGCTCCCAAGAAAATAGAAGCAGTGATTAAAAGTCTCCCAAACAAGAAGCTCAGGGTCAGATGATTTTAGCACAGAATTCTACCAGGCTCTCAAAGAAGAGTTAATACCAATACTCCTCAAATTATTCCACAAAATATAAACAGAAAAAAACATTTCCAAATTATTTTTATGAGGCCAGAGTCACTTTAATACCCAAATCACTCAGAGCCTCAACAAAGAAAGAGGATTACAGATCAGTTTCCTTCTGGAAGTTAGATGCAACAATTCTCATTAAGAAGTCACAAAGAGAATCCAAGTACATATCAGAAAGATGATCCACCATGATGTTGTGGTTTCATCCCAGAGAAGATGGGTTGGCTCATCCTATGAAAATCTGTCAGTGTAACCCACCATATAAACAAACTGAAAGAAAAAGAATCCACTGGATCATCTCATTTGATGCTGAAAAAAAAAAACCTTTGAAAAAAATCCAACACTCCTTCATGATAAATGTCTTTTAGAGATCAGAGATACAAGGGACGTATCTAAACATAATAAAGGCACTCTACAGCAAACCAATAGCCAACATCACACTAAGTGGGGAAAACCTAAAGCAATTTCACTAAAATAAAAAAAAACAAGGCTATCCACTCTCACCAAATTTTTCAAGAGAGTTTTTGCAAGTTTTAGCTAGAGCAACAAGACAATTGGAGGAGATCAATGGGATATAAATTGGAAAGGAAGAATTCAAAGTGTCACTGTTGGCAGATGATAAGATTATATACATAACCAAGCCCAGATATTCTACTAGGGAACCCTGAGAGATGATAAAAAAAAAACCTACAGTAATGTGACTGGTTAAAAGTAACTCAAAAATAAGTAGTCCTCCAATATACAAATGATAAACTGGCTGAGAAAAAAAAATCAGAGCTAAAACACCCTTCACAGTATCCACAAATAATAGAAATGATCTTATTGTATGTCTAACCAAGTACAGTGGCTTGAAAGGAAATGTCCCCTAAAGGGAGTGGCAATAGGAGGAAGTGTGGCTTTGTGGAAGTAGGTGTGACCTTTTTGGAGGAAGTGTGTCACTGTGGGGACAGGCTTTGAAATATTTTTGGGTCAAGATTTGCTTCTGTGATAGCCAAGTCATTTCCTGTTGCCTAGAAGATGCAGGACTCTCAGATACTTCTCAAGTACCATATATGTCTGCATATTGACATGCTCTACTCCAAGAAGACAATGTAACAAACTTCTGAAACTGTAAGTGAGTCACACCAATTAAATATGTTCCTTTATAAGAGTAGATGTTGTCATGGTTTCTCTTCACAGCAATAGAGACCCTAACTTAAGACACAAAGCAAGTGAAAGACCTTTATGACAAGAACTTCAAGTCTTTGAAGAATGAAATTGGAGAAGATATCATAAGATGGAAATATTTCCCATTAGGATTAACATAGTGAAATAGTTATCTTACAAAAAACAATCTACAGATTCAATGTAATTCCCATCAAAATTCTAACACCTTTCTTTACAGAACTTCAAAGAACAATACTCAACTTCTTATGGAAAAACAAAACATGTAAGATAGCTAAAACAATTCTGTGCAATAATGGAATTTCTGGTTGCATCATCATCCCTAATTTCAAGCTCTGTTATAGAACTATAGCAATAAAAACTATATTTTATTGTATAATAACAGACAGGTGTCTCAGTGGAGAGAGGGGAAAATGCTGTCATGATGCAAAAATAAATAAACAAAACAGTAACAACAGAAAAGATTCTCAACCAAATCAGGGTGTACATTTCTTTGAATGATTGTCTTAATTGGCGTAGGAGGGGCCAGTCCATTGTGGGCAGCATGATTTCCATGCAGATGGTGTTTGGTTGTATAAGAAAGCTAGCTAAGTATGGGTCAGAGTGTGAGTCTGCGAATGAGTCAGCAAGCAGCATGTTTTCTGCCTTGAATTCCTTCAGTGCTACAATATAGCACAGTACCAGAAAGGTAATGGACTCTAGTCTCCCTCCTAAACCACTCCTTTTCAGGGTGTTTTTTATCACAACAAGAGAAAGAAGCATAGAGCACATTATAGGGGAGGCACATCTATTTGACTCCATTTGATTTTATAGCCCTGAGTACTCTCTGGGCAAAGAGAAGGTGGGATCGAGACATCGGTGACTGGTCTGAAAGTGCATGTACAGTCTATTATATTAGTGTCTCTTGTTTTGTTTTGTTTTTTGTTTTTTTCCAGACAGGATTCTTCTGTGTAGCCCCAGATATCCTGGAACTTGCTCCACAGACCAGGCTAGTCTGCATCTAAGAGATCCACTTGCCTTTGCCTCATGAGTGCTTGGATTAATGGCATTCAGCCCCATGCCCTGTTGTGTTTTCTCCTTTTACTCTCAAGAGAAATGTCCTAGGACTTTCCTTCAAAATGTCCTGGGCACAAGGCTCCTCCTGAGAATGCCTGTCCTCTGGATTCACACTACTTCCAGATTTAGTCCAGGGCATTCCAGGACAAATCTGGAACCCTGTTTAGACCCATCCTACAGTAGAAGGAATTAGGAGTCCTGAAGAGGACAGTGATCAGGAAGACCATCCTTGAATGCCACCGGTGCCAAGCATATCAGGGAATCTCTCATTTGGCTTCTTGACCATGCTTCCTGTTAGCATTGAACATGAGACTTCCATTCTTCCAGTGATCACCAGCATCTGCTCAATGCTATGAAAATTGTTTCCCCGAGCCATGACCTAGGAGACTGTTTTCCATCTCTGTCCCTACTCACCTTAAGCTCCTTCTCTAAAATGTACTCTAACCTACTGGCTCCTTCCTTTGTCTGAGAACACCTTTTTGCATGGGAACCATGAAGGTCTCCTCCCTCCTGTCATTTCTCAAAAGAAAATATCATCCCCACCGGTAACAAAGGGTAAAGGTGACCAGAAGGTCAGAAAGGACATGTGAGTAGCCAAAGCATAATGCGAGAATGTTGCCTTGGAAGCCTCCTTAGGAAGAAGGAGCCCACAGTCCTTTCAATTTCAAGGACACACAGGTCACCTCTTTCCCAAGACTGAGCACATGAAACTTCTCAAACATCTTCTCCTTGGCCTCTTTCCTGGAGAATTAATTTGACTGGTGGCATTAGTTTTAAAGCACTGATCTTCATCCCTAGTCATCACTCAGCTGGTCTTTTTCCAACCCTCAGGGACATTTCTGTCCCTTTCCTGCAGGGATTAAGAAAAAACAAACAAAACAAAACAAAAAAACAAAATGGAGGGTAGACTGAGTGGTCAGCTGGGTCTGTGTGTCACAAAGACACATAAGCATGGTGGATGCTCCTTGCTTTGTGCTGACAGACCCCAGGCAAGATCAGAGCAGATGTCAGCCCCAGGATGAGCCATTGTTCCTGAGGCCATGGGGATGCTTATCAGCCTTGCTGCAGAAATTATGCTGGTTGAGAAACATAAAGGGAAGTTGAGAAGGATGCAGGGCATCATTGAGATTGGAAGGGATTGAACAGTGCCTTGGACTCAAATCCCACCACTCACAGCCCATTGGATTCTGAGAAGTGCTTCTGTCTGAGAAGAATCTCATCCCAGAAGGAGGAAGAAGAGCAGAGCCTGAGTTCTGTGTTGGAGCTGAGGCTCTTCTCAGAAAGAGGACAGCAAGTGAGAAGATTGATGGAGTCCTCTGTGCTTCTTTGCAAGGGGTGTACCCCCTGGCAGAGGCTTCTGCTCACAGGTAAGGGTACCCACTCCCTGATTGTATGGGGAGGGGGACTCAGAGGCAGGCTGGAGTTTCCTAAAAAGGAGGACAGGATCTTGGGAGGAGACTCAAGGTTTCTGTTTGCAGCTTTGGTGCATAAGGTACAGTAAGGGACAGAGGCTCAGCATCCAGAAGCTCTCAGAGGAGAGTAAGTGATGATGGTAAGAGAAAAGCCTCAAGCACTCCATATTCACAGTGAATTTCATTGGCTTCAATGTTACCCACTCTGACAGCATGACCCTCCAAATAGAAATCAAACAGGGGAGGGTTAGAGAGATGTTTCAGTGTGGGAGGATGCGATATAACCTGAAATCGGTCCTCAGCTCCCACACAGTAGATGGAGAGAACAGACTCCTGCAGGCTCTACTCTGCCCTCCACGTAGGTGCTGTGGCATGTACCCACACATGCACACCTTGGCACATGTGCCCACACAAATTTGTGGCATACATATTCTTATGTACACAAGGAGTCACCAGCCTTCACAAATACACACACAAATTAGCATAAAATATCTAAAAGTATTTTTTCACACTTAAACCTAATTATTGTCCTAAGTTCCAAAACTAGGAACTATGAAGAAAAATCGCAGAAGGCACATTCTTCTTTCCTTCCTTCCTTTTTTTCTTTTGCCTACTGTGTCTGAATCTTTTCCAGGAACTGAACTTTCCAAAAAAGATCAGACTAATCCTACCCTTAAAAGTTCCTGGTTCTGCTGCTTGATGGTGGCTCAGGCCTTTAATCTCAGCACTAGGGAGGCAGAGGCAGGTGATCAGGCCAGCCTGGTCTACAGAGCAGGTTCTAGGACAGTCAATGCTTCAAGGAGAACCCTGTCTCAAAAAACAAAACCAAAATTAAAACCTAAAGACAAACAAACAAAAAGCCCTGGTTCCAGTGGACTTGATGTCAGTAAACCCTAAAGATGAATTCATAGTTTGAAGAGAATCACAAAGGGAACAGAGAAAAAATCAGAAAGTGAGGACTCTCCAGAGGAGGAGTTCAGAGAGGCAGTGATCCTTACATATATACTCTATGTGAAGATGGATAAGGGACACCGAGTCAGGGAACCAGACAGACACCTGAGCACAGAAATCCTAAGGAGTAATGACACACTCAGACACTCTGAGTGAATGGAAGCCATGGTGCTCATGCCAGCGAAGGAGGGTGGGCACAACTTATGCACACAGCAATGTTGAGTGGTGACCACACCCATTTAATATTGGTGTTTTTTTTTTCTCAATTCTCTTCTAGCCTTCCTTTTAACCTTCTGGCTCCTCTCCACCACTGCCCATGAGACCACTGTGTCAGTGCCACCCATAGTGTCTGAAGGAGATGACGTCCTGTTCCTTGTCCACAATCTGCCAGGGGAAATCGAATCCTTAGCCTGGTTCAAAGGGCTAGGAGATGAGGCAGAAGAAATTGCAACATATGCACTGCACAGAGGTTTAAGCAGGCCAGGTCCTGCGCACAGCAGTAGAGAGACAATATATCACAACGGATCCATGCTGTTTGAGAAGGTCAACCTGAAGGACACAGAATTCTATACCCTACGAACCTATAATAGAAGTGGAAAAATCATATCAACAGCAAACGTGTACCTCAATGTGTATGGTAAGTGTTCATTGTGAATCTGTGAGGTGGGTGAGGTTTGTTTCACTGGACACACACAGGAGAGTAGTATGTGCCTAACTTCCCTGTGCGTTGTGCCACCGTTTAGTGCAGGACACACAAGGTGTAGATTAATGGCAATAGATCAGAATCCTTCTTTTGACTTCACCTTGCACACAGGTAGCTGTGTGGTGGGTAGTTCATCCAAGGAAATCAATCTCTGTCTAGACTCTAGGAGTTCTTACCACTAATGTTTCCTTGAGAAAGACTCCGAGGGAATCAACAGTGTGTATGGCTGAAGAAAAAATGGAATCCTCACAGAGATGTGAGCTCCAGAATGCCCTGCCTCAAGACCTGTGTCCCAGACTCCACTCCATGTGTCCATGAGAAAGAAGCAATTGATAAATGTTGGATTTTGACTTTCTGGTGGCAGGGAAGAGTGCTCCCTAGTAGTCAGAGTCTTGTGATGGTGTGGGATTAGACTGTGCACTGTCCCGAGAGCCTTAGTTGTACTAATGTGTTCCATCCCTTGGCCATCTTCTTTAGAGAGTCAGCAGGGGAGCATAGTTCAACAGGTGTCCAGGCCATTGACTACTGTCCTCTTGGGCACATGGTGTTTTACATGAAAGTCATGGTGCCCAATTAGAGGGACCAAGGACACGGGTTCTCCTGACAAGTGCTTGTTCCCGGAGTCCTATTTGAGGAATTCTCTCCTTCAGGCAAATGGCTATTGGATATGCTGGTCTGATAGCTTCCCAGAGGAGAACTGTAGTTCCCCTGGAGATCACCAGGGCACACAATGAACTGCCAGAAAGGTATTTATTTGCATGAACCAGGAACTATCCTTGTAGCCTGGTTCCACCCTCCCCCATTTTTTTTTTTTTTTTTGGCAGATCTAAAAATCATGGTCTCAGCATTCTCATAACAGCTGATAAATGTGTCTGCTACCCTTTCAGGAGATCATGTTCTGTTTCCCACTATTTATGTGTTCCCTTTGGGAAATACATGATATCCTAGAGGAATCAACTAAACAGTATTCCAAGGTATCTCAGAAAGGTTATGGAGCATGTGGGCAGACCTGTTACACAGCTCAGCAAGCAGGAAGTAGGATCATGGTCCTGAACATCTTGCACATGATAAAGAATCTCAAAGCCCTTTTCCGGGAAACAGGTCACTTCCTCTCACACACTCCAGATCTGAGACTCATGACACATCCTGAGCCTGTCGGAACCCAGTCTGACTGTGATTCTAGGGGGAGTATATTTATTCTTTTCCACACACATCACTCACCTGGTCCCTTTGGAGCCTCGAAGTCAGTTTTGTCACCTTCCTGGTGGGAGCAAATTCCATGTTTCCATAGCACTGAATACACAGGGCAGACTGGGCACCCAGCTGGGCTTCTTTGTTACACAGCTGTGGCTCATGTCACAGGGATGGTCACTACCCTTTATTCTCTGTATTCTAGATGACATAAACATAAGGAGGGGACGACAAATGAGCAGGAAGCAGTGCTGGAAGTGGTGGGGCAGAGCAGTGTTTTGAACACAGACCCACCCTCATTATACTCTGGGAGGTGCTCCTTCCTGGCGTTAGGGCTCAGCTCATATGTGGGAAGGGCAGCAGAGCTTGTGAGTTGTGCTGGAGCAGACACCTCAGAGGAATGAGAGATCAGCCTACGCAGACAATAGAGGCCCCTTTCCATACTCCTCAGCAAAGGGTGCACCACATCTCAGGGGCTTCTACTCACAGGTAAGGAGACAGTGTGTGAGGGGAGAGAACTGACATGCTGTCTGTAGTCTCCTGAGTGGCACAAAGACATGAGAGAGTGTTTGAAGGGGAGAAGATACAGAATGTGAGAGAGGCTCAAAACTTGGATTCTCTTCTTGAATACTAATCAGTAAGGGTTGGGGAGACATTGTTTTTGCCCTAAATTTGTAAGCATAACCACAGTATTCTGGAGATAGAACACAGCTTGATGGCCCAAATTAAAAAAAAAAAATCAAGCTGGTGTGGATCAGTGACATGGTCCAAAGATATAGGCATTTGATTCATTGTCTGGCATGTGGAGACCCATGGACTGAAGTCTTCTGACCTCCATGTAAGTACTGTGTCTGCACGCCCCCACAACACACACTAGACCAGCCCTTCCACTACTCACATACAACTATAATATGGAAACAAGAGCAAAAAATCAAAACAAATTGGATGATCTAATACTCTATCCATAAATCTAAGTTTCTTAAATAAGTCCATGGGTATAAAGGGTTCTCATACGTCATTTATTCCTTCAGTCTCCACATGTATCTGAGTTTCTTCTAGGCATCTTTTAAAAAATACAAGACAATTTGTGGTTCTTATTACATCCCAGTTTGAGTGGATTTGAAGTAAACAAAGCTAGAAGGAAAATTCAGGTGTTAGCTGCAACCTCAGCAGGAACAGAACAACAGCAAACTTTGAGAGTGAGTACACAGGGTCTGAAGGGGAAAAGGCTGGGCAGGCATCACCCCACCCAACACCCCAACAATTGGGCTAATTGGGTTCAATGTGAGCAGGGATCTGATCTAGTATAAGACACAGCCATGCTGACAACTGAGGACAGAGACCCACATAGTGGAAATGACAAGTGTGGGGACACTGAGAATTTAAAGGGCATGGGCAGATCTCTACCAAGTAGGACATGGAGAAACTCACCCAGAAACCTAGGCTGAGCAATGGACACAGCTGCTCAGGACACGGGATGTCATGTTAGGCAAATAGAAAAGACCCAACTTAGGTGGACTTCTCTTTTACCTTCTAGCTTTCCTTTGGAAGTGTGGGTGCCTTGCTCCCTCTGCCCAGACCACTGTTGAATCACTGCCATCCAGCGTTGCTGAAGGGGGAAATGCTCTTCTACTTGTACACAATCTCCCGGAGAATATTTTAGAGTTTCTCTGGTATAAAGGAGAGGTTGACTCCAAGAACCTTTTGGCTACGCAACCTGTACCAGCCAAGAAACCAACTGTGTGGGGGCCTGCGTACAGTGGCAGAGAGACATTGCACAGTGATGGATCCCTGCTGCTTCATGATGTCACTGAGAAAGACCATGGATTGTACACACTCCGAATTCTGAGAACAGATATGGGAATTGAAGAAGCACAAGTGCAACTCCATGTGGACAGTAAGTGATTCTCTGTGATTGTTCAGTGCTGGGTGGGGCTTAGACACACAGGACTGCTGTGACTGGCTTAGCCTCTCTTTCCTCTGCTCTGTGTCCCCAGGTGGAGGTTTGAGCACTTAGCGCGGGACGCATTGCTAGAGACAAATGGCCATAGAGCAGCTTCCATCTTCCATTTGCATCAAAGTATAACTTGATGGAAATTAACTCAGTCTAACGTGGCAGAGTCAGCCTAGTCTATTGGGGTTCTAGATCAGGGAGAACTGCATACTTTCATCTTTTCAAGGCTTGACTCAAAATGTGACTCAGGGGAACATTTTCACTGCAACACTCTTACATCCTCTTAAAGCTGTTAGGGGACATGGTTTTATAACATCCATGTTGGGTGTCATAAATGGAATCCAGGAACTGGTACAGAGACCATGGAGAAGTGCTTCCTATGGGCCAGCCCTTCATGCTTGCACAGCCTGCTCTCTTTTATTATTCAGGATTCCATTCCCGATACTTGAACTGACTGCATTGGTCTGAATCCTTTTGCATTCATCCCCAGTTTTAAAAAATGTGCTATAATTTTGCCCACAGGCCAACCAGGTGATCGCATTTTCAACCGAAGCCTTGTCTTACAAGATGATTGTAACTTGTGTCAAACTGACATAAAACCAGCCAGCCTATTACCTAAGCCTTTAAAAGAGCTGAGACTGACTTGAAGATCAGACTATTCCCAGCCCCCACACAACCCCAGACCTAAGAGTCACTTGACAGTTTAGCAAGAACGTCTATTAGGTGAAGTCAGGAGCTGAGTGTTGTCTCAAAGGAAACTGAAGAAAAAAAATCATAGACATTGCAAGTTCCAGACATGTTGAGTTCAGGGGAGGCATCATCTCAAACCTTACTGTGCACAAGTGTGTGCAGTATCTGCCTGAGGGTAGTGAAGTAGAAGCCAAGTAGACTCCCAAGAGGACAGATCTATGCAGAGGAATGACACTTTCAGGGGCACTGTTGGAAAGGAGGGGTTTTGAAAGGTGAGGAAAGGTCATGTTTTTGGCCTTCATTACGTGGGATAGACCCTCACACACCTGCAATGCTAGGCTGAGTGATGAATCTATCTACTCAGTCTGGTTGGAGGTCACCATCTTTTCACCAAGCACAATGATCCCTATGTGATTTTTTTCTCTTTTCCCTCCCAGGTTCCCATTCTCTGTTCTGTGACACTCTTACTTCTTCCCAACTCATGATCCAAGCAGAGCCTCGGTATGTTTCTGAAGGTGAAGACGTACTTCTCCAAGTTCATAATCTTCCAGAAGATGTGCAAGCCTTTTCCTGGCATAAATCAAAAGATGGGAGCCCAATTTTTAAACTCAACAGAGCCATGCCTTCCATCTCCTGGGACGTTGCACAGAGAACAAAAGGGATGGCGTTCCAAAATGGATCTCTGTTGCTCCAGGATATCACTGAAAAAGATGCAGGAATCTACACGCTAGAAGTTTTAAACAAAGATTTCAAAATCGAAAAAGCATACGTGAAATTTTATGTAAAGAGTAAGTGACTCTATGGTCTCTAAGTCCTGGGTGCGGTTCATACTATTTCATACACTAACCTGTCAGGATTTGGCTGTGCCTGCTCTTTTCCCACTGCATTGTGTGCACCCACTGGGGTTTGTGTTTCTACTGCAAGACACACATTGGGTAGACAAACTGTAGATCAGAACTACTCACCTGTCTTTACCTGCAGAGAGAAGAACCTGTGCTGGGAAAACTCAGCTCCGGGATGTCATCCTTAGTGCAGACATTTGGAGTTCTCACCATGCACATGTACCCAGAAGAGTGTGGGAGTCAGACAGTCCCTGGTTGATGAAGCCATGGGGTCTTTACAGAGATCACCAGGAATCTCTATCTCCAAAACATTGCCCCTGGCATGAATCAAGATCACATTGGGGAGATTTTTTAACTGTTTGTTTAGATTTTCGGTTAGAACTGGCAGGAACAAGGCTTTACTGACTGTTCAAGTCATGGGACTGACTGTCTCCTAGAGTATAGAATCAGCCGTGTACAGCCATGGCAGCTGGGTAAGATAGTTCACCTTTGCATCTCCTTCTTCTAACGCTGAGTGGACAGGGGTTTGGGCAATTAGCCTATTGCTCTGATGGGCTTATGAGAATTCACAGGAAGGTCAAGGCACTAAGGGAAGAAACAGAGGAGGAAGATAGTAACAGATGCTGTTGATGTGAGCAGCTGCCCCAATTCAAGGTCAAACCATTGCTCATAACTAAGCTTAACTCTTAGACACGGCGATGATCATTCACTATGTGTCCTAATACATGGAAACTGAGACATGGAAAACAGTGCCCGAATCAGAGTCACACAGTCACTAACTGGCAGATACAAAGCACGAGATATGTCTATAGTCACAGCTTCAAATTCTCCCTCCTGGAAGATTTATAAAGTATGAACTAAAGAGGGCCTGGTTGAACTCTCTGGATGACTGTCATTTGGTATTCTCTTCTGTTTCTTCACAGAGCCTGTGACAGAGCCCTTTGTGCAAATCACTGACACCACAGTCACAGGAGGTACATCTGTGACCTTCACCTGCGTTTCACCCAACACTGATGTCTCCATCCGTTGGATCTACAAGAAGAAGAATCTGCAGCTCACAGAGAGGATGACTCTTTCCCCAACAAAGTGTGGGCTCAGAATAGATCCTGTCAGGAGGGAGGATGCTGGAGAGTATCAGTGTGAGATCTCCAACCGCTTCGGTTTGAAGACCAGTCCTCCAGTCTCCTGGCCGTGACGAGTGAGTGACCTCTCCTCTCATCCCACAGTAGAATGCTGGCATTTCTTTATTAATGGGATATAAAATAGAGAATAGTTATGTGGTGAAAATGACTAGTTATTACTCAGGTACAGCCTGCTGGGAGACGCACCCCAATAATCTTGAGATACACATGTATATAAGGGAAGACCCGAATTTAAAGTGAGGCTGCCTTAAAAGGAAAATAGAGACATAAATATGGTAAACAAAATTTCAAATGTTGTAAGAGCTTAGGTTGTGGTTCAAATATATAGTGATCCCTCAGAATTCATAGCAACTGATTTCAGGAGCCCTCAAACTTTTGGAGGTTCTGAGTCTGCTGTGGAAATGGTATATTGTTTGTATTAAGAAAAAACGTACTCTCATATGTTCAGATACATTCTTTTTAACTAATCCACGTAGGTCCAATGTTGACGGCACAGCAGTCATCCATGTGAAGTGAGGAAGAGTGACAGGAGGAGGGTCTGCCCATGTCTCACTGTCGACAGAGCTGGTTTTTAAATAGCTTTGATCCACAGTTTGTTTGATGCACAGATTTAAATTTCTTCACATAAGGGCAGATCATACTGTTTTCATCATGATAGTGACATTCACACTGAGACCGATCTCATTAGTGCTTTTCCTGTCAATACATATTTCTCTCATTTTAAAATCTCTTCTCATATATTACATCTCAAGTACAGTTTCCCTCCCTCCACTCCTCCTTAAGACCTATTTCTCCTTTACCTCAGATCCATTCCTCTTCTCTTCCCCTTCAAAAACTGAACAAGATTTCCAGGGATAGCTTTAGAACATGGCACAGCATGTTATATTAGACTTGCCCCAATCTCTCAAATCAGAGCTGCGAGAGGCAACCCAGTAGGAAGATAAGGGTTCAAAGAGCAGGTAAAAATATTAGAGGTGCCCTCCCCCTTCCACTGTCAGGAGTTCCAGAAGAACATCTATCTACACTACAATAACTTATATGCTGAGCCCAAGCTCAAGCTCAAAGGTCTGTGATTATCCCTGTATTCTCTGCGACCATCTGTTAGCCATGCATTATTGTTTCTGTGTTCCATCTTTTCATGGTGTCCTTGACCCCTCTGGTTCCTAAAACCTATCCTAACACTCTACTCTGGGGTTCCTCTGGTGCCACCAAGTGGTTTGCTGTATGTATCTGCATCTGTTCTCATATGTTACTGAATGATGCCTCTCTGGCATCTTAGGCTGGACACTTGATCTAATAGTATAACAGAATATCATTAGTAATCATTTAATTGAAATGTCTTTCCAGTGATGTTTGGTTCTAATCTGTGTTTCTGGTCTGTCCAGCCTCTGGTTCCTGGCCATCCAGGCAGTGTCAGGTCTGGACTCCCTTTCATAACATGGGCTTTAATTTGGACCAGTCATATTTTGGCCAATATCACAAGTTCTCTTCCACCATAACCCAAGTAAATCTTATAGAAAGGACAGATTGTGGCTATTGAACATTTTGTGGCTGAATTGGAGTCAAGCTTAACTGCCTGAAGTCTTCTGTAGGCGTAGAAGATGGCTGTTTCAGGCTATCTATCCCTCACTTCTAAGAGTCTTTACTAGGGTCACTCTTGTAGTTTTCAGGGAGTTTCCACTGTAGTAGATTTCTACATTGCTCCCCAAATCCCCCACCATTCCAATTATTACTCCAAGTACTCTCTCCTTTCGTCCCACCTTCCCACATGCTTCCTCCTGTTACCATACACACATGCCCCCATCCATCCATAAAATCTTTTCTATTTCTTTTCCCAGGAAGAATATGGGTCCAACTTGAGTTTCCCTCACTACTTAGCTTTGTTGTGCATGTGACAAAACAGGACATTTGATTGTTTGTGCACAATATTAGCTTACAGTAGTAGAGCTCAGATGTGTGTGTTCGTTCACCAGTTCCAGAAACTTGTGTAGAATCTTTAGGATTTTCCAAAAATAAGTTCATGTCATATGCAGGTCTATTTTATAGCCAAATGATTGTCCAACTTTAATTTATTTGTGTTTCCTAACTGTTCTGGACATCTAAGAGGGTATTAATCCTGTCAACTGCCTGCTCATTATAGGTCAGTAAATATTGTATCATTTCTAAAAGTGTCACATTCTTTCTTAAGGATATGATATGAAGAAAAAAACTCGAGTCCCAATACCCAATAAATGGATGTATCACCATAACCATATAAGCTTTATTGAATACAATCCATAGTATTAGCAAAAATGTTACTAAAAGTCTCAATGTTAATGTAGTCTGCCATATTGATTTATTAATTACTTGTTATGAGATCCGGTAAATTGTTTTAGGTGTAACAATCTCTGTTGTCCAGCAGGTGTCGCGGCTGTAGAGTCTCGACTAGCAGTGATGCAACTGGTGGCGACACGGATGGCCCTGAGCTGCTTTAGTTTCCTGCCTTTAAATGCTGAGAAATATGCTTGGCTTCCCAAATTAAAAACAATTAAATCAATTCCATACACGGAACAAGAAGCTGCACAAGAGACACCATGGGGCAAGGAATACAGAAATGGGGGTGGGAGGCATGCATGTGTTTGGGAAATTTCCAAGTCAATGTACTCAGTTAGCACTACTGTGGTGGGACCATACAAAAAAACTACTTAGGTAAAAGCAAGCCAAGTGAGAAAGGTTGGAATACTTTCTGGGCTGTGGACCATTTAGGCCATTTAGGCTGTCCACCTATTAAGTGTGGAGTCCGAGTCAATGTGGGGCCAGATGAAGAAGGACACTTAAAAGAAATCCCACACTAGGTCATTCTCCAGCACCAAGCCTGCTTGCACATCACCATGGACTTAGCTGTGATGATAATGGCCTAAACCCCTAAAATGTAAACAAGCCCTGATTAAATGTTTTCTTTAATAAGAGTTGTCATAGCCTCGTATTTCTTCACAGCAATAAAGCCTTTACTAAGGAACAGGGTGAGGGATAGCCAGTCCCACCTGATCTATCTATAACACAACCCTCTTATTTGAGTATCGGGGAACATCTCAGAAGAGGATTGGAAGTACTGTAAGGGGCAGAAGACCTCCTGTGCACTGTGAGATTGTATCTTCTATATTTCACTGGGAAGTTACACCCCAAAAAATCCAACAATATGGCTGTATAAATAGACCTGCAAAATGACAACACCAATTGTCATGCACTGGGAAATCACAAGAGACTTCACTCATACATAAAGAGCTCCAGGTAATCAATGAGTTCTGAGAGAGTGAGTGTCAGTGATTTCCGGGGGTGAGACCCTGATAAAACATCTAATTCAACATGGACAACACTAATTGGATGCATCAAAGTGTATTTATATATTTATAAGTTTATACATAAGTATTTATGTGATAATAATAACAATTTAAAAAATCCTAAGAGGAGGTAGAGTCGGAGAGGGTGGGCTGGAAAGATTGTAATGTAAACACAATACACATATAAAACATATAGTCATCCTCCTGGATATTGGAAGTAGACAAGATTGCTGGGCAAAAATTGGGAACTTGGGGGTGGGTTGGGATGGGGGTTAGGGAAAATAGGGAGAGAAAAGTGAGAAGGGGAGGA